TTCAATATTCAACATCAATGTTATTTCTTGGTATTACGCCAATGAATGGATTTATTTTAGTCTGTGGGGCCTTTACAACTTAAGCTGTTTTGTCCATTTGTTCCAAAGGCAGAAATAAATGGATCAGATATTCTGGTAATTTTTATCCATGGTTTTATTCTTGTAGCATTTATTATTAAGCATATAAATACAGGAAATGATCCTTTTCAATGTGATTTTAAGACTGACATTAATTGGTGTCTGTTTTAACATATATAATCTCATTACAGAATATGTAGAGTGTTTCTGGTGACCTTACTTTTGGAAATGCAGTTCTCACCTTTCAGGCATACAGTTTACATGACATTAGATATTTGATAATCTCAATTTATGAGGGGAAAATTCAAGCTATTTCTCAGGTCATTTAGTAACAATTTCATGAGACTTTATAGGGATTTTAAAAGTATAGATCACATTGCCATTATCATGAGGAATAGTCATAGGACCTTAGGCTAGGGAATATTGAGCTTTTCTGAAAGCATCCTGTATTAATCATGTTTTTTCTGTATTTTATGTTTGGCAACTTTAAAAAGCTTGCTGGACAGGGAGAGTCTTCCTCTTTTAAGAGATGGCAAAGGGCTGATCCTGGAGCTCATCTTTCAAATGTCAACCAACTAGTCCCAGCCCCAACCTCCTCCTCTAACTCTCTCACAGCAACCTAGTACTTGCCCTGCCCTATATCAGCCAGACAACCCGAAACACCTCTTTGGCCCAGAGCTATAATGCTCCACGAGGGAGGGTCCAAAGCCACATCAGAACTTTATAGATAAAGCAAGATCTGGTCACCTGTTGAATCTCTTAAATAGAATTATTACTGTGGGGGCACCTGGGTGGCTCAGATGGTTGAGCGTCTACCTTCGGCTCAGGTCATGATCCCAGGGTCCTGGGATCGAGCCCCACATCGGGCTCCTTGCTCAGCAGGGAGCCTGCTTCTCCCTCTGCCTCTCTCCCTGCTCATGCTCTCTCTCTGTCTCTCTCTCTGTATCTCTGTGTCTCGAATAAAAAAAAATCTTTAAAAAAAAAGAATCATTACTGTAAAAAAAATGTCTGGACAATTTCCCCATCATTGGGGTTTAGTCTTTTTAATTTCCAGCATACAGCTGTAATTGGGGTGGCAGCACGAGACACTGTAGTTGAGCTAGGATTGCTTCTCTTTCATGGGGGTAGATTGTATGTGGGCAAAGCCTTTTTTGACATCAGATTAAACAATGGTCATTGTAGTGTTGTTAATGTGGCAAAACTTCTGAGGGCTTCGTATGCTGCACAACTTTTTGAGAAGAGACTAATCAATATCTAAAGCTTGATTTATGGCTCACTTTCTGTTTCAATTATCTATTACTGTGTAACAAAAACACCCAAAACTTAATGGTTTAAAATGTTTATTTCTTGTAGAGTGGGTGGTTTCTCTGATGCACTTGGCATTAGCTGAAGTCTTGTTTGGCTAGCTAAATTCAGCCAGTGATGGGGCTGGGCCAGAAGGTCTAAAGAAACTTGGCTCACATGTCTGGAATTGTATGGGGCTTTCTCCTCATAGCTTGAGTTTCTTCACAGCTTGGTAATTTCAGACTAGTTGAACTTTCTGCATGATGATTAGCTTCAAGAAGGAAAGTGGAAACTGCCACACTTCCTGAAGTGTTGGCCTGGAACTTCTGCCATATTCTACTAAAGCCAAAGCAAGTCACAAGGCCCTTGCAGATTGAAGAGCAGAAAACAAGAACAGCTTTTTAGAATGGAATTAAGAGAAGGAACTGATACCGTCTTTGACCATCATACTAACCAAAGAAGGGCTATACTTATAAATCAGTCCAGGAAATTAAGAAGTGATACAAGTTTGGGAAATAGATTCAGGGATTGGTGGGCTTTCAAAAACAGGAATGTTGAGGGAATGCCTGGCTGGCTTTCCGTTGTAAAAGTTTGGTCACTGGAATGAGGCTGTAGCTGACTTTCTGACTTTCCAGAACGTGGTCATAGTGAATGCTGTTGCTGATTGGCCTTCAGAAATGTGGAGCTGTCAGGCTGGCTGGCCCTCATAAGCATGTGTGCATCTGATGAAACACCCATCAGTTGATCTGGTGATCAGTTGTCTCTGATCTTTCGATTCTTGTGGTTACTAATTCATGACTTAAAACTCTGGCCAAGAGGCAGTCAGTCTTCCTCCATCCTTCTTGACTTTGAAGGCCAGGAATCTTTTATTCTTTTCAGAGTATCTTTAAAGTTTTTTCATTAGTACAGACATTATTCTTAGTGACAGGTTTAACAGCGTTACTGGATTTTCCTCAAAAAGCAATAATTTTTATTTAATTTTTGATTGAGAAGCCAGGGGACACTAGGAAACATATTTGCTTCCACAGCAGGTTGAAGTAAAGAACTGCTATGAAGGCATGGCTGTAATCAAGATGGCATGCTTACGTCAGTGTTGGGGAGAGTACTGGTAGCAATACTTACTGTTTGAGGATTTAGAAGTTATATAGGTAGCAAAGCAATTACTAAGTATCACAGTAGGTGTTCATTGGTGGTAAACAGCAGACAAATCAAGGCATGTTTAAGAAGTTGAGCATCACGAAAGTCATCATTTGGAAGGGGCAGGCAAGTGGCAGGATTTAGATCGGAGCAGCATTTGACAATCCTGAAGTTTAGGCAATAAAATAATTCTACTGGTACTGTAGTAATACTAGTAATGTAGATTACTAGTAATGTAGCTGGTGGAGTTGGGCATTGTAAGGTTTTTGTTATTAGATTATGCTAGTTAAGTATGACAAAGATGGTCATGGGATAGTGAGAAAATTATAAAATGATGTAGGGAACACTGGCCATTGACTTGGAAGAAAATAAGGGAATATTTTTAGGTAGGGACTAATTAACAATTTGACTTAATTTAGACAATGTTTATTTTATACATGTACTGCTATATTCCATCAGAAAATGTTTTGATTTTATGACAGTTCAACAAATAAAACATTTATTTGAAAAGATTCTAATGCTTAGGCTTTTAACATATAAATACAATATACAAAATAAATACACTGCACAAAACCACCCACCCACAAATTGCTGTATGCATCATTTCTGAAACACATACTATATATAAAAGTACATCATATATGTTGATTGTGGTGTTTTCAGCTCTAAGTAACAGAAAAACTTAACTTTGAAAAGTGCCCGATAGTAACTATCGCAGGCTCTGTGAGCCATACAGTCTCTGTCAGAACTACTCAACTCTGTTCTTGTAGTGCTAAAGGCAGCCTCAGGCAAAACAGAGACAAATGGTTTTTATTAGTGTTCTAATAAAACTTTATTTATGGACACTGAAATTTGAATATACTTTTCACATGTTGCAAAATATTCTTTATTTTTTTCCACCCACTCAGAAATGCAAAACCATTCTTGGCTTGTAGGCTACAAACACGGGCTTTGGGTCACATCTGAATATCTGAATCCTTTGTGGGAAAATGCACAACCAAGCCAAACCAAGGCACTACAGCAATAAAGTGAGTGGTGAATGTTGGTAGCCAACTTTCTTTCTAGCATAATTCAAGAAATACAAATTATAATGATAATAGTATCTAACATAGGCTTTTCTTGTGTCTCAGACACTATTCTAAGTGCTCTAAAAATATTAACTCATTTCTCCATCAAAGCAATCCTTTCATTACCACTTCTTGTTTCTAGAAAAGGAAAGAGGCACAGGGAGGTTAAGTGGCATGCCCCGTGCTGGAATTTGGGCCATGGCAGTGAGAGTCCGGGCTCCACGTCTCTTAACCACTACCATGTTGCTTCTGCTATGAAGAAAAAGGCAGCGAAGAACATTCTTAAGACACTCATACAAAATTCTACGGCAGAGAGCTCTGCCCCCTGCTAAAACATCAACAGTAAGATGGATACGACTTCTTTATGTAGTGTTATGGTTTAAGTGTTTTCAGCTGTTTTTAAAAATAATTTCAGTCTTTTTTTATGAATAAATGTGTCCCTAATGTAAAACACGGCTGACCTTTCTGAAGGATTGGTTCAGTAACATCTGTATTCATTTAAAAATGCAAGGAAATAGAAAAAGATGCATTAAATTTTAAAAGAATATTACATTTAAAATACACATTAGAGTAACAACAGGAGTCGATGCTGAGACATAATGTGAAATATCTTCACATACGTGAAAACTACTGAACCAAGGCTACATATTTCCCTATGTACAATTATGGAGGGGATCCATGTGCACATAAACATCCACAACCTGTCTTGTAGCGTGCTGACACACATTAGTTCTACATACTAAAGGATTCTTCGCATGTGTATAAGGATATCACCTGGTTTTTTCCATGTGTTTGTGCTTTTTAAAAAGCTTCAAATATCTAGACATTGGTAGGTTTCTTAAAAAACAAAACAAAACCCAAAAAACAAAGGAAACCCCTCAGAATCCAACTGCTGCAACATGACTTTCGGTGTAACTGTTACCCTCACTCAGTACAGATTCTCTTTGAATTTTTGTCAAGGAACTTTCACATATTTGAAATGTCTGCAAAGGTTCTATCCCAGCATCACGGATCTGAAGTTCACTGAAACATCACTTCCCCATAAAGGCTTCTGTATCTGTTGCAGTCTGTGCAGTTACACCTTTGAGTGCTCCAAGTCCACCTGGTGTCAAAGGTTTCTGAATGCTTGGAAAGGATACTGATGGGAGCTTCTCACTCAGGTAAGCTTTTGGATATCTAGTGATGGCTGCCCTGACAGAAAATTCCCTGACATTCATTTGTTTTTACAGGATTTCTCTCATGTGATTTCTGTGTTGTGCGATCTAGTATGACTTCTAAAAGAACCGTCTCCCTCATGTTTTACAGTTTGTGGGTTGTCTGATACTTCATTAAGTCTGACATATGGTAAAAAGCTCTCCCACATAGATTTAAAGAATTTCTGTGTATTTCCTTTTCTGTCAAGAAAGACTCTTGACTGAAATTTTCTGAGATAGATGATATTCCTAAGCTTTTTGTCTTGTGTGAATTATCCAGTTATTCTGAAGGATGAATTCCAAAATAAGTTCCCTGTTCATAGTATTTATCAGCTTTTTCCCTCTGTGTGTGTCTTCTGATGTGCAGTAAGTTTTGATTTCTGAATAAAAGTTTTCCTACACTCCTGACATTCATAGGGTTTCTCCCCTGTGTGTTTTCTCTGATGTATGATAAAATGTGACTTCTGAGAAAAGGATTTCCCACATTCCTTACATTCATAGGGTTTCTCCCCTGTGTGTGTCCTTTGATGTAATCTGAGGACTGAATTCACAGAGAAAGATTTACCACATTCATGACATTCATAGGGCTTCTCCCCTGTGTGTTTTCTCTGATGTTTGGTGAGGTCTGATTTATAGTAAAAGTTTTTTCCACATTTATTACATTCAAAGGGTTTCTCCCCTGTGTGAGTTCGCTGATGTACTGTGAGAGCTGACTTCTGGTAGAAGCATTTCCCACATTCCTTACATTCATAGGGTTTCTCTCCTGTGTGAGTTCTCTGATGAGTTTTGAGGTGTGAATTTCTAGAAAAGAATTTCCCACATTCCTTACATTTATAAGGTTTCTCCCCTGTATGTGTTCTCTGATGTACTGTGAGGTGTGATTTCTGGGAAAAGGATTTCCTACATTCCTTACATTCATACGGTTTCTCTCCTGTGTGTGTTTTCTGATGTACCATGAGGTATGCCTTAACATAGAAGAACTTCCCACATTCATTACACTCAAAGGGTTTCTCTCCTGTGTGTGTTTTCTGATGTTCTACAAGGTGTGGCTTCTGGTAGAAGGATTTCTCACACTGATTACATTCGTACGGTTTCTCCCCTGCATGAGTCCTCAAATGTCTACTAAGAGATGACAGGTGATAGAAAGTTTTCTTACATTCTTTACATTCATAGGTTTTCTCTCTCGTGTGAGTTTTCTGTTGTACTGTGCGGTCTCCGTTTCTAGAGCCAGATTCCCCACATTCCCTGGGTTTGTCCTTTGAATGAATATGCTGATGTATTAGGAGGATAGACTTCTGGCAGAAGGACTTTCCACATTCATTGCATTTATGGATTTTCTCTCTGGCTTGAGTTTGCTGGTGTTTTGTGAGTTCTCCATTCCTAGAAAGGAAATTTCCAAATTCAGTAATGTCTAAGGTACACTAGCTTAGCTGAGAACCAACTTCTAGAGATTTTCCCATACTGATTAGATTCAGTTTCTCCACTTACGTTCTCTGACACACACTGTGGTTTAACATTTGGTAGAAGGAACCTTCCCTTGCATTGTATGCACAGTGTCTCTCAAGTGCCTGAGATCTACAAAGCCTCCCTTACCGTGTAACTCAGAAGAATTAAAAGATGAAACTTCAAAGTTTGAATCTCCTGGTCCTGAATAAGATCTCCATTATGGAAGAAAGCGTTCCCATTTGGGTTATATGCTTTGGAATTCACTCCAGTTGTTAGTTTTCTCACATTTAGTATGAACTCGTGTTTTCCTACTTCCAGTACTCCCATCAGTACTTTCTTATTACAAGGCTTCTAATCTTAAAATCGAAATCTTGGACTTGCCTTGAATTTTCAGCTCGGCTTTCCTGGTATTTCGCTCCTAGGTCATGAATTTTCCAGAGGTCTTCTACAAAGGAATCCAAAATTTAATACTGTATAAATCTTAATGTATTATTATGGTTGTAGGGTTGATTCTTAGGCTTCAGGCAATCTCCCCAAATAAAGGAACTCTCAAATGCAAATCTCATCTATCCCATTGGTTTAGAAAAAACAGAAACATTAAAAACTGCAGTAGCAGACCAGGGAAGAAACGTGGTTATAAATCCAAGTACTTCTGACACTTTACAAATATGGCCTTAAAAACTGGCAGGAAAAAGTTAAGGGGGAAGAAAAAATAAAAGAATAGGGAGCAGAGAACAAAAGATATCCAGAGTGCTGCTGAACAAGACTTAGGGACTCAGAATGCTGTAAGCCCATGACAGACAGGAACAGTAAGTAGAGTGACAAGAAAAATTAGAAGACAGCTGTGTTCACTGAAAATTTCAGGGGAAAGATGAAACTGGATGAAAAGCTCACAGGTCTTTGTCAGCTCAAATCTAATTTCCTGTGTTACTTTAGCAGACTATAAACTTCTGCTTGATTTCCTCTATACCCGCACACGACAATCTGTATGCCAACACTAAAGTGACTTTCTGAGAACATCTGTTTCCCCGTATGTGGAGGAATAGTTCTAGACTTTGGGCTCTCACTGTCCATCTAGCTGGCTTAATTTTCACGGGGGCAGAAGACCCAGGAAAACATATATCCTAAAGGAAAGATAATTAAAAAGAGAGTGCAAGCCATCATAAAATGGATGAATTCCCATTTGCAGTAGCAAAGATTTTCAAGCCTGATTGCCAAATACTGCATCTCCAAAGCAGTGTTAGCCACAACTCAATCCCAGGCTTATTCTGCTTTCATAGTTTAGTTCCCACCTCTCTGCTTCAATTTATTACATGATCTATAAAGAGTAAGTACTCAACATCATTCTGGAACCTTTACCGACCTTCACAGTTATTCATCTTTAAATGCTTGACAGAAAGTGAAGGATTATGAGCAGAGGCTTGGGGTTGGAATTTCACGGCACTTGTGGAGAAGACGTAAGATGTTACCTGATGGGGACCTGGGCAGGGCTAACTGGGACACACAGGAAACAAGATCGTGTGTGTCTTTGGTCTTAGGAAAGGAGGAGCCCTTGCAGGAGTTACTGTGAAGGGCACAGAGGAGAAGACAGTGCCTGCCTCTTGTTAATTCACATTCAACCTTTCAAGAATATCTAGTGAACAACTACTGAACACCAGGCATTGTTCCTGGTCCTGGCAACATCTAAGTACACAAGTCAGGAATATGAGAAAAGCATTTAAGGAAGCAGAGTGAGATCATCTTAGTAGTTTTTTTTGGCTTGTTTTTAGTTTTTTAAATCTTAGTGTTACAACACTCCAAGTAAGGTGAAGTAGATTTTAGAAGGGATAATGAGTACTTTGTGTGAAAGACAAACCACATCTAAAAGGAAGTATCAACTCTGAAATAATGTAATTGATGAAAGACATAAAGATTTGTAATCTGATTTCAGAGTTTAAAGAGAGAAAAGGAAGTTAATAAAACCGGTGCTGAAAAATAACTGAGGCATCTCATTGTTAGTAAAAGGAGGGAAATGGCATTTGGAGAAAAATTTATCATCAGATTTAAGATTACAGTGTTCTAGAATTTCAGTAACTGGGAATTCTAGAAAGAAGACAAAAATTTAAGCCAAGGTTAGGCAGCAATTAGATTTTGTATATAGGAAAGAAAAGTAAATCTATTTTTAAAAGTCCGGCAAAGGAGGAATTATGTGGAAAAATGAAAACCGGAGGTGTGATTTATGTTGCTTGCATATGCAGATCAAGTGTCCTTGGTCTTTTCCAAAAGTATAGGGCATTTAAAAAAGAGATTCCTAAAAATATTTCAGAAGGCCAAAGGCACCAACCACCTCACTAGCAACAGGGGCCACAGGTCGTCACTCACCTGGGTAATTCCGATGTGGAAATTCTACTTCCAATATCCACGGTTCTTTTCCTTGTTTCAGCTTGAAGACTGCATTCGGCTTTTTCACACGGTAACCTATTAATGGAAAAGTATGTAATACAGATTACTTGGAATTTAGGGACTTAAAGAATGAGGAAATGCGGTTTTAGGAGAACAATGAAGGTCCTACTTAGGCTTGGCAGATTTAGATTCTTTCAGTGGGGAGGGAGGGGACACAAATATTTTTTCTCATACCCAAAATGGATTCATCACCTTTTACCCCTGAAACAAAGCTAATATTATGCAGTCCAGCAACTGGGAAAGGAAATGCAAACTCTTGGTAGTTACATATGGGGAAGTCTTTCTCACCCACTGAGATTAGGAGACCATAGTTCTCTTGCATCACTTCCCTGTATAGGGTCCTCTGAGCAGCGCTCAGTAACTGCCACTCTTCCCGGCTGAATTCCACAATAACATCCTTGAATGTTACTGGTCCCTGTAACAACAGATTTCAGTTCAAACTGAAGTAATCAGAGTAGGGCACCACAAAAAGACACACGTAAACTAGCTGTTAACCTGCCAACTATAAAGTTTACTCTAGAAAGTTAAGATATTTTGCTCCTCTGTACATAGATGAAATGTTCCATATGTATTTACTGAAAATACCACCCATGCCTGGAACTCTGTGGAGACATGATGAATGAAAGCAACTATTCCTGTTGTCAAGGAGCTTACACTCTGACAAGGAGGCAAAGATGTAAATACTTGATTGCAATATTCATAGCAGCTGCTCTGACAGAAACATGTACCAGACATACGATGGTCACAAATGGGGATAGATATTTGCACTGTATATTCTCAAATCAGATTTTACTAGGTAGTCAAGCTACCATAAACTGGGAAGAAAGAAAATGGAGTCGGCAAAGGCCTTGATGCATGAAAAATGGCAAGTTTAGGAAAGTTACAAATAAGACGGCATGATATGAGAATAGGAAAGATTAGTTAGAAGGTGATACAGTCCAGTCAGGTGACAGAACATGGAAAAATTCTGAGTGTGTCTCTGGGCCATTAAAATATATTTTGCATACCCACTTAATTGGTGCCTGTTTATAAATACAAATTTGCAAGTCTTTATTAAAAATTGATGTTTTGTTTTTCTATTTATAAGAAAGAGAAATATGAATAGATATTCTGCTATTTCACACTATTTTTCCACTTTGTGGGCTGGCCTACACATCTTTGGGATGTTCACCCATTCACTTATAGATAATGGAGCCACTGAAGAGACAGATGTGAAGTGCTAGAGTTACAGGAGTAGCCTGGTAGTTTAGAAGAAAACACTGAAGTAGAAGAGGCAAATACCACACCAGAATTATGGAGTGTTAGAAAATTAAGGGCATATGTGAACGATAAACATTTAAAATAGCAGCAGTGGGGGGAAGAAACATACCTTCATTGGAAATGAATAATTATTGAGAGCAGGGAAGGATAACTCCTACAGTATCTATAGCGTTTGATAATAGCTAGAACTGCAATGCTAATTATTTTCATTCTCTCATTTTTATTGGTAGGACTATGTAAGGCTATGAAATTTCCTCCAATCATTGCTTTGCTTATATTCCACAGAATCTGACATGTAATGTGAAAACCTGAAGAGCTTCTTTGCTGAATATAAGTTCTTCCTTCTACTTTTCTTGAAAACACTGTTCCGCTATTCTTGTGTTATATATATGCTGCTAATGAGAATTATGTCAATTTTATTTTCTTTCCTTGGCAAGGGACGTAGACTTTTCTCCTTGTGATGAAGAGGACTCTTTTTTTCTCTACCTTTAAGTAAGTCTAGTAGTTTTATTAGACTCTCTCTTGGGGTTTACCACTCTGGGTCAGTTCTTTCTGGCACACACAGCCTTTTCAGTATGTAATTCAGTTCTTCTTTTCTTTATGGAAAGTTTCCCTGGATTAAACATTAGCTCTCTTCCACTATTTAGGTTTTGTTATTCAAGGATTCTACCTTATTTCCTATTTGTTATTCTCTCTCCCTCTTCCTTGTTCATCCCTAACGGCACCCCTACCCTCTCCCCGACTCCACAGTCTTCCAATCCCTCTGCCCCATGTCAGTCATCCGACTTGCATTTCTCTTCTTCCAGAGCTGCACTGTCATTTAATCTTCTAACCTGACAGGATTTTCTGTTCTACTATTTCTTCCCTGAGTTACTTTGCTTGTATTTTATACCTACTTGCTTTTCAGTTTCTGAGTCTTTAGTCTCTGGGTTTTAAAGTTATTTCCTATCTGAAACTCCTTAATACCGGAAAGCTGTACTCTCCTCTACTTTGCGTTTGTTTGAGGGAGGAGTACTGACGTCAACAAAGTGTTAATTCACGCATTCTACTTTTTTCTTTTAGTACTGTCTGCATGTTGAGTAACATTTTTTGTTCATGATCAAATGAACATAAATGGTGGGGAGGGGTGGAAGTGTTTTACCCTCGTCTTCAGTTCCCCAAAAAACTCTCTCTGTTGCCAGAGTATATTCACATTCTTGAAGGAAACAGCAGTACTGGGGGTGGGGTCTTCAGATTCTGTGATAATGTACTTTTCTTTAGGACACCTGATTTCAGCTGCTTGTTTTCTGGTTGCCTTCGCTACTAAGGACACAAGGGATTCCACTTCTTTTCCTCTGTGCTGCTGACTGCTTGAAGCTGCCGTCTGTGTTCCTGCACACATTCTAAAGCCCCTCCTTTCTCCTCCCCGTGCCAGTCCTCGGCTCCCACGGTCTCAGACCTCTCCAGCATCTCCCCAATCAGGGTGAGCGTCTCTGTGCCCACTTGATCTTATGCTGCTCTACAACTATGACCTCGACATCTTTCCTCTTCCATCAATGCCCTCCTGACTTCCTGCTCTGGGGTGAGCTCCAAACTGCTTTTGCTCGTAATAGTGATCTCTCAACTTATACAGAGACAGAAGTTTCCTGTCTCCTAGCTATACAGTAGGAATAGGTTGGGGCGTGTGGAGACATTTGTATTTTGCCAACTAACGTTATTCTGTAGCAACCAGGAAATCCATAAAAGAAACTGGAAAACAAGAAAAAGAATCCGTTGGGCAAGAGGAGACAGAGTTGAATTTTGTTCACACTGTGAAGTGACTGTGGAACATATAGCTGGAACTGTCTATTCTGATGGATATCCATGTAAGTAAATTTCCACAAAGAATATTGTCATATTTAAAAAACGGGGTTCCAGAAGAGTCAAAAAAGAAGTCTGAAAGCAACAACATTCAAGATAATGGTAGGAGAAACTAGGCCAAGACCAGAGTCTGACAGGACTCTAAGTATATGGGCAGGTCAGGAGGAGAGTGCTTAGGAAGCCAAGGAAAGAGATTCACAGCTAATGGGCAGTTCTAGTTCAAAATCCAAATATAAAAGTCCAAGGTAGTGTAACTTGGTAAGTGCACTCCAAAAAAAGATAGATGGGTAGCAAATAAGCACATTAAAACATTTTCAATGTATTAGTCATTGGATAAATGCAAATTAAAACCATAATGAGATACCACTACACACCTACCAGCAGGATTTGAAAAAAAATCACAACTGACAATACCAAATCCTGACAAGAATGCAAAACAGGTAGAACTCTGTACATCGTGGTAGGAACACAAAATAGTACAGCTACTCTGGTAAACAGTTTGGCAGTTTCCTATAAAGTTAATCACAATACTAAATTTGAGGCAGGTAAGCACATGCCTAGGTATTTACCCAAGATAAATGAAAATCTCTGTACACACAGAAATCTACATGCAATTGTTTTTAACACCTCCTTTTATAATTGCCACGAAACAGAAACCCAAATGGTTTTCAGCTGGTGAATGCGTTAATAAATTGGGTACATACATACAGCTCAGTACTATTTAGCAATAAAAAAGAATGAACTGTGGGTACAATTAACATGATTACATCTCCAATGCATTATGCTAAATGAACGTTGGTAGCCTCACAAAACTACATACTGTTTGACTTAACTTATATGATATTCAGGAAAAGGCAAAATTACAGGGATAAAGAATAAATTGGTGATTGCTAGGAATTAGTGGTGGGGGGAACCAAAAGAATTTTGAGGCAAGGAAACTGCTCTAATTCCTCACTGTGGTGATGACTGTGTGCCTTTATGCATGTGTCCAAACTCACTGAAATGTATATCCAAAAAGAGTGAATTCTGCTGTAAGTTAAAGAATAAAGTTAAAGAATAAAGAAGATAAAACAGCACAAAACAAAAATGACTTCACACCCATTAGGATGACGACTCTCAACAACAACAACATAAAAACCCAGGAAAATATCAAGTATTGGCAAGGATATAGAGAAACTGGAAACCTTGTGGATTGCTGGTGGAAATGTAAAATGGTGCAACTCCTACAGAGAATCTAGTACGTTGGTTCCTCAAAAACTTAAAAGTATACCATATGATTCAGCAATTCCACTCCTAGTTATATATCCAAAACAACTCAAAGCAGGGACTCAAGCACGTATTTGTATACCAATGTTCACAGCAGCATTATTCAGAATAGCCACAAGGTGCAAAAAACCCAAGTGTCCATCAAGAGATGAATGCATCAAGGAGAGGTTGGGAAGATGGTGGAGGAGGAGGAGGACCTAGCACAATCCTCCCATGAATGTAACTAGGTAACACGTCAGCATAAATAACCCATGAAAGCAACCCCAAGACTGGCCGAACAAACTCCACAACTAAAAGTAGAGAAGAGGCTGCATCAAAGAAGGTAGGTGTGAGTATTAAGAGAAGTTGAACTAGATGCAAAAGGAAAGATGGAACACAGTAAAAAGTATAAAATCTTGATTTTTAATAAAACATGCCAAAAAAAAAGATGAATGCATAAACAAAATGTGGTATATAGAAACAATGGAATATCATTTAGCCTTTAATAGGAAGGAGGAAATCCTGTCACATGCTACATTGATGAATATTAAGGACATTATACTGAGTGAAATATGCCAGTTAAAAGCGGCAAATGCTCTGTGATTCTACTTATATGAGAGACCTGGTATAGTCAGGTTATAGATAGAAAGTAGACTGGTGGTTCCCAGGGGAAGGGGGAATAAGGAGTTATTGTTTAATGGCTAGATTTTTAGTTGTGCGAGATGAAAAAAGTTCTGGAGTTGGATGGTCGTGATGATTGTACCATGATGTGAATGTACTTAAAGCCACTGAACTGTACAGTGAAAAATGGTTAAAATGGTAAGTTTTCTGTATATTTTGCCCCAATTAAAAAATAAAAGTAAAAACCAAACCCCCAGAAAACACTAAGAATGGCAGTACGAAAGCATCAGATATTACCATATGCACCAAAATTGTGGGGGGATCAAGAGCCTAGAAAAAAAGAAATTGAGTCCTATACCTTGAATTTGAATTTTTGGGGCATTTTCAAATTTCAGGGCAGAGCAGAAAGTAGCTTAGAGCTAGCATCCTGACCATAAGGATAAAAAGCTAGTTCTGAATAGAATGTAGAAAGGCAAAAGAGAAGTGGATCTCACCCTAACAATAAGAACAAGCCCCTAACATAGAAAATTACAAGTTTTCCAAAAACCTATCAGAGAACTGAGAATCAGAGAACTGAGATGAACAAAGGAAAAATTCACAAGAGATGAATGCTCCAGAAAAGAAAACCACAATGACTTTCACTTTTAGGGGCAAGTAGGGGAGAGGGAACCAATCCAGCTCAACAAAATTTTAATGTTTGCTTATGGATTTCTGCGATGTCTTAGAACTCCAGTCACAAAGCATGTGAACACCAATCTGCCATTTGATACTAGCTGGTGACTGGAGGTTTCACATCCAAAAGGTCCCTAAATGGAAGCCTAGGATCTGCAGGACTTTTTTTTTTACTTCCCATCAAATGTCTCAGAGTGATCGTTTTATTATAAGTTGGGGAAACAATTTCTGGAACCAAATAGGAAGCTCCATAACCAATATGAATGGTCTGAAGTACAGACAGCCGAGTACATGGCAAGAGCCCTCCACAGGCTGGGAGCAGAGCACCAGGGCAGAAGAGACGTCTCCCAAAGGAAGTACAACGAGTCTCATTAGGATAAAGAAAAATCCACACATACACACAGGAGAGTTAAGGTATCTTAAAAGTAGCTAGCCCGGAGTGCAAATTTACTTTAGAGGTCTGACAAAAGGTGAATTTTCAGTAGTATCAGTAGAAGACAATGAATGCTTTTCAATGTTTTAAACTGTAAGAACTGTCAGCCAAGAGTTCTAGACACAGTGAAAAAGCAGTTTATATTTCAGATAAACCAAACTCAGAATTTTCCACCAGCAGATCCTCACTAAAACAAGCAAGCGAACAGAATAAAAACAACGTAAAGGATGTTTTCAAACAGAAGAAATTTATGCCAATACAACCTGAAAGATTCAAGAAGAAATAAAAAAAGATCACATCATTGGGCCAAAATGGCAATGAACAAACCAAAAATTACATATCTGCATAAAATAAACTTCTCCAAGAGTTGGTAGTGATGACTGCACTCAAAATTACTTCAAAAAACTAAAAGGCTCACTAGTCAGTTGTGCTGGCCAAACTGGCCAGTCAGAGATTAGTTACAGAGCATAAAGTGGGGAACATGTGGCACCCCTGAATGAATTCTGGATAAGGAGAATATCCTGTAAAAGATACATGTTCAAGACTAAAGCAGAACTGTTGAATAGGCTAATTTTTTTGGAGCTTCCTCCTATATTATTTCTCCCTCTTTCCATAGTCTCTTTCTCCCTACCATCATGCCCAAAGACTGTGATTTTTAGTTAATAACATAATGTCCACACTGAAAGTTTATGATATGGTAGTGAACGATTTCAGAAGCTGGGCTATAAGAATTTATTACTTTCTTTCTTTTTTTTTTTTTTAAAGATTTACCTTTTTATTTGACAGAGAGCACAAGTAGGCAGAGCGGCAGGCAGAGGGAGAGGGAGAAGCAGGCCTCCCGCTGAGCAGGGAGCCCGATGCGGGGCTCGATCCCAGGACCCTGGGATCACGACCTGAGCCGAAGGCAGACGCTCAATGACTGAGCCACCCAGGCGCCCCTGGGCTATTAGAATTTCAAACACTATGTCAAGTGCTTATAAAAGGGCTGGGAAATTCAGTGCCAAATACACTCTTTTGTTTTTAAGCATTAAATTTATAAAATCAAAGAAATGGTTACCACAGAAGTCAGGATTCGTTTTTCTCTGGGTCATGAATGGTGAGGAGGGGCACACGGGGCTTCAAAGATAGTAGTAATTTTCATTTCTTAAGCCAGATAGGGGATACACCTGTGTTTCATCAATATTCCCTTAATTTTACATATACATTAAATACATTCCTTTGATTGCATAAGTATGATTTTTAAATAAAACTTAAATTCAATGTTTTCTTCAGCCTACAAGGTCCTACATATTGCAGCCCCTTCTACGTCTTTGATCTTCCCTCTTAGCTCATTCTCCCCTATGTCCGCTCTGTAGCTTCAATGTCTTGAATACTGTTTCTGGAACATGCCTCAGGGTGTTTGTATTTGCTTTTCTTCATATCTAGAATGCTTTTCCCCCAGAATCCTACTTGGTTCCCTCTCTAATTTAACCAGGGCTCTCCTCAAATACTACCTTTTTAGAGTGGCATTCCCTAACCACGTTATTCTGTTCCTCACTTCTCTGTGTCACGCTGTCCTCCTAAACTGCCTCTGAGCACATATATCAAAAGTATTACTCCAGGGGCGCCTGGGTGGTTCAGTCGCTTAAGCATCTGCCTTCCACTCAGGTCATGATCTCAAGAGTCCTGGGATCAATCCCCATGTCAGGCTCCCTGCTCAGTGGGGAGTCTGCTTCTCCCTCTTCCTCTGCTACTCCCCCCTGCTTGTGCACGGACGTGTGCTCTCTCTCTCAAATGAATAAATAATCTTTAAAAGAGAGAAATATTACTCAAATGCAGACACATATAAAAAATATATTACATTTGTTAGTATCTTCACCAGTCTCCTCAGAAAAGTCTTTTTTAACTATTAGAACGTGTCAGCTTCACAGTGGAGGATACAAGTTTTCCAAAAATCTGTTTCACCGGAAAGCTCAACTTTTAACACTAGCAACAAATACTGAGAGTTCTTTTTCTTGAAGTGGCAGGCTCACTTCTGCCATTTTTGAGAAAATGTTTGGTAAATACCCGTCCAAATAACCACAGTTTGTCTGCCAGTTGCTCTTTCAAGTAAAAACAGTATTCCATGAAAAGGTGGCTAGGTAAGCTCACGAATCAATCACACAAGTGCCTTTTCTCTAGACAACCATCATTCCTCAGTATGTAGCAAAAGTACTGTAAGTCAACTTCCCATTTCCTCAGACTCAGTATTACAAAGATACGTATTCAAGGGTCAAGATTTAATAAATTAATTTTTACTGTTTCATCAAAGATACCCTTAAGTAAAGGTGGCAGTTTTTTATTGTGAGTACACTGCAGAGAAATAGTCATTGGTATCACTGTCTTGATTCATGCCAAACAGGCAGCAACCTAGTCACCATTGCTCTTACACCATCAGTATGCAAGGCAGTTTGCATCTCAGTATTACGTTCTGACCTCACAGGCCCCTTATTAAGGTCTTGGGGATCCCAGGAATCTGCAGAGTACACTTTGGAACTGCTGTGCTATTCAAACAGCATTTTCCCTTAAGGTGATTTTTAAGTATTTCCACTTTTCGTGTTTAATGTATGGGCTTTCATAAAACTCACTGAAAATAGATACACACACACACACACACACACA